CCCACCTTAACTGGGCTTATAGTAGTCTGGTGGTGGGGAAGGATAAATCTAAATTAACTTTTCTTCTGAATTGCTTCAAGTTTCCCTGTTCCATGTTAACCTGAGCCAAGTGGCAAAAGGCCTAGCTCCTTCCCCATCTTGCACTCCAAGGAAAGTGTTTCACAGGCCTTCACCGCCCTCAGGAAGGGACACTGAGGTATGTCAAAGGGTTGGTTGCATTTCAGAGGCTCAACCTAAGGACTTCGGAGTTTGCGGTTGCCTTTGCCCCTCTCTCCCTGTCACCCTTCACATCCACCCTCAGGAAGCCACTTCTGCCTCCTTTCATGCCGAGCTTGGAGTGTCCCCAAATGCTTGCATGAGATGACTTGTGTTTCGGTGTCAGTTTTACCCAAATTGCTCACATCTTCCCTTCCCCACTTGTAGGGGAACTCTTCAAATGACCATACGCACAAATATAACTTCAGTATGAATGAATGACTCCACCCCGTCTCTAGGTTATATTACTAGTTGACTCAAATGACAAAAATTATAGAAAATCTACCCAAATAAATTGATTCTCTGCATACCAGGGCTTTTACATCTCCACACGTGTCTGTAGTCATACATGAGAAGTGATTGGGTAACTATAGGTTCAATTGCTCCTGTTTAGGCAACCTAGGGGAAGGTGGGGCTAGCGAGTCTTCTGAAATAGTAGGCAAGCATCTGTGCTGATGTCCCCTCTCCTAGGAAATTTGACCACAGCTCTCTCCAAAAAATAGAACTCACAGAAGAAATCAGATACTGCTTAACCAGCAACTCTAAGTTCTTACACTCGGCTCCCAACAAATGTCTTTAAAATCCAAATTATGAAAAACCCTTTGTCACATTAAACTCTGCAACAGCTCCATGGATATTAAAGGGACATATTAAGGACAAAGGACTCCCAGACAGGAATGCTTGATTGAGTCTTAAAAGCATCACATAGTAGTTTTGGTGGTTTTGGCCTCAAATTTGTGGCAAGCCTCCCAAGTTTGAGAGCTTCCAGGCATAAGCCACCACACCCAAACACTCATTTCTTAACAGGCTCACAGTTTATAAAGCTTGTAATCAACATTTATCCTGATGGCACACCGAATCTATCTAAAAAAACTAACAAACTATAGTCAACCAACAGGCTCTGAGGGACACATGACCACTGCCTGATAAAGTAACAGGCCCAGGGCTCACAGGAAAACAAATGAACTACAGTGAGAGAGCAGTTACTGGGAACTGTTTGGGACTAGCAAACCTAGCTGGCCTACAAGTGAAGTTGATCCCTGGGTCTTGTTTTTTATGTTTCTCTTAATCATGTCCACAGAGACAGCACACACCTTATAGCTACAACTGGATCCAAGTTCCATGAAGTTTGAGAGCCACAGGGGAAACTGGCATGAAGTGCACTCAGCTCCACAGGGAGACATTGGTGCCTGAGAAATGCGGCACCAGTTTCACACCGGTATCATTTCAAGGCGTGTGCAAAGCTGGTAAGATGGCAGGACAGGCATGCAGTGGCCAGCCATCTCCTGCCAATCACTGCTGGGGCCCTGCCCAGGTCCAAGCAGACCCACTCTAAGCTGAGAAGGAAGAAATGGCAGGGACCGGAGACGTCGTCCATGGCTTCACCAACTGGCATCACGCACGACACTGCTCAAGAGGAAGAATCTTGGAACCAGAGAAGGCAGCCAGTGAACAGGGGGCTCGAATTCCAATCCAGCCTTGGAAACGAGAAGTTGCAAGACCTTGAGCAGATTAGGTGGCCCCTCGGCACTTTTAGTTTGCACATGGACAATATAGGCTTGAGCTTTGCATCAGAAATTTTGAAACTATTTGTGACCGTTTCCAGGGGTGTTCTGGGTGTTAGGCATGTGGAGTTTCATAGGTAGATCCCACTTAAGCCTCAGAAGCCCTGCTAAGATTCTGTGGTTTAGAAAACATTTGGGGTATGGGGATATGGGATGTAGCAAAATGGTAGAGAGCAAAATAATATAAATTTTTGAAATTGTTTTGCAGTGTTTGAGATAGTGCCCATGGCCTTGTACATGCAAGTCAAGGACTCTCAGCACTAAAGCTGCACAGAGGATCTTTTTTTTTAAAAACTGGGTGAACTGTGCAGTCACTTTCAAAACTAGACTAGAGCTGCCAGATACCAGCTCCATCATTTGTTCTGTGTGACCTTGGCCTTCCACATCCAGAAATTAAAATCGCATCACAGTAATGGATAATGAAGATTAAATGTGAAAGCTGTGCCCAGCACACAGTGACTGTTCCATAAATATCATTTCTACATACCAGATGGTATGCTGTTGTTACTTAGGTAACCTTAACAGTATCTTTTAAAGCTTTGTTTTAGTAGCTTAAAGACGTGTATCTTGTCTTATTAAACAAAACTTTGTTTCAAGATAGAGCTAGAAACTGAGGGGTATACCTTGAGTTTTGAGAAGTTATCAATATATATAAGCAGATACAAGTAGAAACCAAACTCTTCATCTGCTCAGAAATGCTAGAAATACTTCAACCCAGCTTACTTGTCTCTCTATACATATGGCTGTGCTGAGAATTTGGTTAAGTAACTTCTTTCCTTGCAAAAATTTTAAATCGTTAACTTCCCAGATGAATTACCTAAAGTCATTTAGGTAAGAGCTGTGAGTGGAGGGTGGCTCTCCTGTGGACAACCCTGTCCACACTTGTCCTCTTTAGTTCACACCCAGAGATCTGAGAATTCCCTGTTAGTAGAGAATAATACCTGTATTAAAGGTATTTCATGGTGACCATTTATAACTTAAGCTTGTGACTTGGGAGTTATGCAAAGCCCACCCATCCATAGATAAGTTTCTGGGATGATTGCCTGCTAATTAAAACAGAAGAACCCTGCCATACCAGTTCAAGGCAGAGTTGAGGGTGCTTTTCTGTAATATGTCAGCTGTGGTTTTGTGGGGTGGGGGTGAGGGGTGGTGGTCAGCAGTTAATCCATGTTACCAGGTGCCAGGTCCTAACCTACTCATCCTTAAAAAAGAAAGTGAGACATGCTGTTATGAGAGAACTCAACTGTCCCAAAGGAATATGAAGGTTTCAAGGAAGCCACCATGAATTAAACAGAAAAATGACCTATCTTTAAAATTGACATTAAGCATTTCCCTCAATACAGTGAAAACAGTGTCATCCTTAGACAGCATGTCTACAACAGATGGTCAGAGATAACAGCTTTTCAGCTGAAAGGGAGAACAGGACCCTAGGGTGCTCAGAAACAGCAAATGGTCTTCAGAGTACAGATCACGTTTCAACCACCCACTCATCCCAGAGCCAAGTCAAAAACGGCTCTGCACCGAGAAGTCTCAGGCAGGGCTAACCTGTGTCCCTTCCAGACCCAGGTGAGACGCAAGTCAAGAAGAAATGACCTAGAGTGTTGCCCCCCCCCTCTCTCTCTCTCTCTCACACACACACACACACACACACACACACACACACTGAACCAAACACAGTGAAATGAACAGCCTCGAGAAGCAGGCGGGAGAACTGGGCTGGCTACGCTGGAACATGTCTGAGATCCCCGCAGGTTGGTGCAGAAGGATTAAGAAGTCAGGGCTAACTATTGGCCTCTGGAGCATACACTTAGCTTAGTACACAAAGAACTTGGCACAGAATGGCGCTTGACTCCCTGACTTCAAACCCATCCCTTCCTTAGGTATCCAAATACAACCAAGAACTTCACTGTGTATTAAGGAGGCAGCAGCTTAGAGCCCATTCTGATGTTCGTTTTCTTGTCTGGCAGACTCTTGAAAAAGAGATTTTACTGGCAGTGTTTCAAGGCTGCCTTTGCCTCCTACTTCCTGCCCTCCAACCCCCACCCTGACCTTTGTCTACAGAAAGGCTTTCCGCACTGATGTTCTTGGGCTAAAGCCCTGAACTGAATTTCAAACTCCCCCACCCCTGGGACCTGTGTGTCCCTATGCCTGTGTCCCAGTATGTGAGACAGCTGCTAAAGTCAGCATTAGCAACAACACACCAATATCAAAATTAAGACATATTCACGTTCTCTCTTGTTAAGTGTAATCTTCCTAACGAATGACTCAGAAAATACAGGATGTACTGACCAAAGCAAGCCTGTTTTAAAAGGAAAGTATATTTAATACTGTATCACCCCAAGTTTTACTCTCTAAAACACCCAGTTGGCATGACCATTTAATTGCTTACTTCCAAAAGAGAGCTGTTACACATTTTGTGAATTTGCCATGTTCCTAAAAAAAAAAAAAAAGATGTCTGAAGATTCCAGTTTCTAAAATGTAAGTTACAGTCGCCATTTTGGAAGGGCTTAGTTCCTTAGTTCCCATTACATTTCATTTGAATATGAGCTAATGTGCTTACTAAGTTTCTACTCCACACAACCTACCTCAAAATGTTCTGGTAAGAAAATATATTAAGATGAGTGGTAGTGGCACACACCTTTAATACCAGTGCTCAGGAGACAGAGGCAGGCAGATCTCTGTGAGTTTAAGATCAGCCTGGTCTATAGAGCAAGTTCCAAGACTACCTACATGAGACCTATAGGCTAAAGAAGGGTTTGTTTGTTTTTCCATAAATTACCCCTAAATATTTGTTTTGAAGTAGCAAAAAAAAAAAACCAATGTGCTTTGTTCATCCAATCCATACTCTATAGGCCTAAAGCTGAGAGTGTGGTGTGTGTGTGTGTGTGTGTGTGTGTGTGTGTGTGTGTGAGAGAGAGAGAGAGAGAGAGAGAGAGAGAGAGAGAGAGAGAGACTTACAGAGTATTGTACATCTATAGCCTGTAGCATCCATGCCACCCATGAGTTGAAAACTGCATTCACAAGGCCCAAAAGCAGCAGTGTGCAGTGGCTCACACCCACAGGATAGACTTGGTTGTTGCAAATATGGGGCCTTTCACACACAGGCATGAGAGGGTGGGAAGGGAGGGAGGGGAGAGAAAGAGAGAAACACCAACATAGAGAGAAGTCCAACTATAGAAAGAGGTTTAAATCTTTATCCGTGACAGTGGCACACTCAACAGGCCAAATAAGCAAGCTCTACAGACGTAAATCAAGAAGGATAAATCCGCACAGAGAGCAAGAGGACCTGGGAGGAGGAAGACAACTCACATCTGAGCTCGACCATTATCCCGCTCTCTGGTCATCGACGGAATAACCAATAGCATCATCAGTCCTCACAAGTCTGTGAGGTAGGAATGTGGGACAAGTTGTCAATGTGGTTTTCAATCCTACAATCAAGTGGTCCAGAAGACACAATTCAAAGGTTGATTTTTACAGCCACACAGTTAATTCTACAGTTCATTTCTTATAGAACACTGGTTCTCAACCTGTGGGTCATAACCCTTCTGGGGGTCGCATATCAGATGTTCTGCATATCAGATATTTACATTACAATTCATAACAGTAGCAAATTACAGTTATGAAGTAGCAATGAAATAATTTTATGGTTGGGGAGTCACCACAACATGAGGAGCTGTATAAAGGGTCACAGCATTAGGAAGGTTGGGAACCCCTGCTGCAGAGTGTCACAATCTCTAATCCCTAATGCCAGTCCTTCCGAGTCAGACTTTCACCATTCATTCCAGAAGCTTTGAAGATGTTTTCCAAGTGGGCAGAGGAGATGGAGGGTGAGAGAAGGGCCACATCGAGACCCTTCTAAGGCTATACAAAAGTTGGACCTCTGCATTCAAAGGTAGCCTCTGGTACCCACATGCGCTGACCCCTGGGAAGTGGAATATGGGGATACGGTACATGACCAGGGCAGCCGTAGATGAAGCCCCAGCTGGGGAGCCTCAATGGTGCATGGTTCCACCTTTGACCATCTCCGCAGACCGTCTGCCTCAGGCCTGGCCATCACTGAGACTGTGGGTTCTGGGAGCCCTCTTTGTTCTTACTGTCCTCTGATGAGCTGCAGTCAGACCCCGAGACGGAGGACTTGTACCCTCGAAGCGTGTGCGCGTTCAGCATCTCCAGCAGCAGGTCATACACTGGGACCACATTTTTGCACTTCATGCTGAGCAGGTGTTCCATGCCCTTGTTACTGTGGGGGGAAAGGCACTCAGAACCCTTCCCTCCAGAGAGCCATCACAATGTTGAGACAGTCCCCGAGTCTCCTGCACAAAGCCAGGCTGTCTCCCGCATTCCCTGTACTTCCGCTCTATCGCGCTGTAGCTCAGGCATCCGGCCTCCTCAATAGTCTACCTCCAAGGGCAAAAGCGGTTCCCTCTTGACCTCCATCTCACCACCCAGTGCTGCACCCATGGGCTCACTCATAAAAAGCACAGAGACATCAAAACCAAGGTTCTAAGCAGCGCCCACTAACTGTAGGTAGGCTTCTTCATGCTGGGAGGGCAGAAGCACCCATGCCCCTGACAGACCCAGCCGAGGAATGTACTATCAAGACACTGAAAAATGTTGCCATTCCTGGCTTGACCTTGAAAGGGTCATGTGCACTGATTTGGGGGTCATGAACAATCTTCAACAATTTGGTGAACTCACACATAATGAGGATAGACTAATATCTATTCTGCAAAGGGTCATGAGTCGAACACTCATTAAAGAAGAAAATAGGAAGGAGTCGTGTTTTCTTTCCTCCTCCATGTTAAATGCTTGAAGTGAACACTGCCCTTCCCCCACAGCTCTTAGCTTCCTCCTCAGGCTTTCTATCTTCCGGTCCTCTCTTCCAGACTCCGGGCAGGGCTCTCCTCCTGAGCAACACCACCCACTGAGCATCACTGTACAGACAACAGACATCACAGCACATGTTCTCCATCAATGCACACATGGTCCCTTTCCTGACCTGGACCAGGTTCCATCCACAGTCTTGCTTCCTCAACCTGTTGGAAAGTTTTCTTAGATCTCATCCCTGGTATCCTGAGGCCATGGAAGCAAAAGGACAACTTGGTGCAGAAGGGAGACCAGGAGAGCCAGGCTTAGTGTCCTTACAGAAATGACCCCAGGCCTTGGCCCTGGGGGTTATGGAAGGTGGCAACTCATTGAGGGAGAACTGCCCGTTTTAGGACTCTATAAACAAATTCTAAACCCTAGCAACTACATCCAGGTGGGTCCCACCAGCTGCCACAAAAAGCCTATGAGGTGCCACGTGACACTCAGCACCCACTCTGCGTCAAGGCTTCGTGCAGGTGTGTGCGCTGATGAAGCCCCTCCCATTCAAAAGTTCATTCTTCCTTAAAGGTGAACACTACCATATCCACCACCGCAAACTTGCCTGCATTTCCCCAAAGCTCGGAGCACCTGCCCTGCCCACACCCCACCGGAACAGCCTCCCGAGGGTTTGTACCTGATGTGCCTGACATGAGAAAGAAGCATCAGGAGGTTGGCCAGGCGAACGGACTGCTGCTGGGGGGAAATACCACTCTTAGCAATCACCCAGACCAGGGCATCTGTCACTGCGTTCAGCAGATGTGTCAGCTTCCGGCTGCTCTCCGCCTCTTGGCTTGCTGTAGCCAGGGGGTACATACCTGGACAAAGAAGGAGAGCCCCAAAGTCAGAGAAGAGGAAAGGAGGCCATGTGCTCAACTGGTAAGTATGCCTGGCTCCCCAGGCAGGAGGCAATGTTGACCAATGCTACTCTGACTTGTTCACCCACACGAGTGGTGCACTCTGCCTCCCCCTAGGTCCTTCCCCTGAGAGCAAAGCCTTATCGCTGGCTGGATACAGGACAGATAAATGATCCCACAAGGTGTCCCACCAGGTTAGATCTGTGGCCTTGCCAAAACAGTGGGCACTTCAAGTAATTAGGTTTCACACCTGCAGCAAATGGCTATGTGAAGGTGGTCAGGTGAGATTTTATAACTATATAGTTTATAAATCAGTATAAACTAATTCTTTACTCCCTTTAAGAATGGTAATTTGCAATGGCACAGTGGAATTGCAAATCAAGAAACCAAGGGATGGGTGGTGGTGGCACAAGCTCTTAATCTCAGCACTCAGGAGGCAGAGGCAGGCAAATCTCTCAATTTGAGGCTAGCTTGGTTCATAGAGTGAGTTCATAGAGTGAGTTCCAGAACAGCCGGTACAACACTTGGCTTGAAAAGCCAAAAGAAGAAAGAAACTAAGGGCTTTAATTGCATCACTCGTGGTTGGTTTTCATTCAATGTGATAAAACACTGACCAAAACCAACTTAGAGGAGTAAAGGGTATACTTCACCTTACAGGTTATGTTCTGTGACCAAGGGAAGTTCACAGGCAGGAAAACGCAGACAGGAGCTGAAGCAGAAGCCACGGAGAAGCCCTGCTGCTTACTGACTTGCTCAGCCTGCTTTTCTACACAACTTAGGACCACCTGCCCAGGGGTGGCCCCGCCCACAGTGGGCTGGGCCTTCCCACATCAATCAATAATAAAAAAAATGTCTCACAGACTTGTCAACAGGTCAACAGGTGGCGTCAGTTCTTCAGTTGAGGTTCTCTCTTGCCAGGTGACTCAAGTTTGTGTGGAGCTGACAAAACTAGTGTAACTTAAGAGGCAGAGGCAAGGGCTGGAGAGATGGCTCAGAGGTTAAGAGCACTGACTGTTCTTCCAGAGGTCCTGAGTTCAATTCAGGTCCTGATTTCAATTCCCAGCAACCACATGGTGGCTCACAACCACCTTGAATGAGATCGGGTGTCCTCTGCTGGCATGTAGGCAGAAGACTATGTACACAATAAATAAAATAAAATATTTTTAAAAAAAAGAGGCAGAGGCAAGTGGATCTCTGTAAGTTCCAAGCCAGCCAGAGCAACAGATTCCAAGGATGGAGTTTGGTGGACCTGCTTGCCGAGCATGCACAAGGTCCTGAGTCTGAGCCCTAATGCCTCGGGGGAAATAAATAAACACCCAGTGTTTGCAGTAGCCCTGGAGCTGCTGCTCAGAAACCCCTGCTCACCTCCTCCACACCCTCCCCGCTATCTGCCCCTCCCCCACAGGCAACTCATTCATTCCCCTCAGCAGCCAAAATGCAGATCTGATGGCTTCCAGACATCTAGGCACAGCAGATCCCTACCATGTAGTGCAGTCATTGAGGAACCCGGGTCTCCTCTTAATCTATTTTTTTTTTTATTTTTTGGGGGTGGTACATAACACATGCGTGGAAGTCAAAGGACCATTTGCAGGAGTTGGTACCTCTCCTCCCCCCCCCATGGGTCCCAGGGATCAAACTCAGGTTGTCAGGCTTAGTGGCAGTAGGAACCTTTTCTTGTTCAGCCATCTCACTGATTTCCCCCCCAACCCCTTAGTGTCACATAGCCCAGAAAAGTGAACGTAGCCAAGGACGGCCTTGAACTTCTGATCTTCCTGCCTCTATCTTCCCAGTGCTGTGACAGAGGCTTGAGCCAGCACACCCTGTTCATGTAGTGCTGGGGACCATGTGTGGTAGACAAGCATCCCACCAGCTGAGCTCCACCCTCAGCCCTGTCCCGATGATCTTTCAGTGCCCAGTCCCCACACCTCACCCCAAGTCCCACGTTTAAGTCCCTGCGCTGGTGCCGCACTGAGCGTCCTCGAGAGTCTGCCTAGGACAATGGTTCTCAACCTGTGGGCCTCGACCCCTTTGTGGTCATATACTGGATCTCCTGGATACCAGGTATTTACGTCATGGTTCACAGCAGTAGCAAATTGTAGTCATGAAGCTGCAACAAGATAAATTTGTGGTTGGGGGTCACCACAACATGGGGAACTGTATTAAAAGGTTGCAGCATCAGGAAGGTGTCATCCTTATTCTCCATCATTCTTCTCTATTTATGGCCACTCTTCCTTTAGATCCCAGCCTGGTCGTGAGCTTCCTTCTGGAAGCTTCTGAGTCCCAGCCTTCATCTGGCTGGAGTTCTTTCCCACACATGTGGGATGTCTGCCCTGCCCTCCCACACCCCTGCAGTCACCCTCCTACCCTCAACACAGCGCTCTGAGGACACAGACCCTGCCCACTTGTCACCACATCCCTGTCACCCCCCACATTGCCTGGCACAGAGGACACATTTATGTACAGGAAGAACTAGACTGGATTCACACAGATTCACATTTTCGTATTTTCTTAGTCAGTCACATGAGTGTAACTGGAATATTTGTGTATATTTTAAGTACACACAGAGAAAAAGCATTCATTTAAAAATGAAAAGAATTTTGAGCTGCATATGGTGGTTGCATACCTTTGATCCCAGCACTCAGAAGGCAGAGGCAGGTAGAACTCTGAGAGTTTGAGGCTAGCTTGGTCTACATAGCAAATTTCAGGACATACAAGGGTACATAGAGAGACCTTGTACATTATGCTAATGACATAAGCCAGTAACAAAAATCGTACTATTTTGGCACAGGGTATGGCCCATGAGTGACCTTGATCTTCTGATCCTCCTGCTACCCGCTCTTGGGTGCAGAGATTACAGGCATACACTGTCAACTTAGAGTCCCGTTTTTCATTCCACTATTTGAAGCAGACACATCCATAGAGACAAAACAGATTGGCAGCTTCCCTGGGGTGAAGGAAGGGTGGGCAGGATAGCTAACTACCAACTTGACTGGATGAGGACCTGGGGCACTGATGAGGCACACCTCCCAGAGGACATTAGCTGAGGAGGAAGGCCTGCCCTCAGGGTGGGCAGCACCATGCCGAGGACTGCAGTCCCACCGGATGAGCACCGGAGCTCCCCATCTGCTTCCTGAACCACAGCGACGAGCAGAAGCTGAGTCCAAGGCTAGCTTTCCCATAATCTCACCTCCCTTAGTCTCGGTCCTTGGTGGCATCAATCACAAACATAACTCAGCAGTAGGGACTGTGTAAGCTAAGGAATACTGGATTTCCTGGGGGGGACGGGGGTTAAAATGTTCTGAAAATTGATGTTGGTAATGACTCAGTGAACATACTGACAAAAATTGAACTGTACACTTTTGTTTTAGGACAAGATCTTGCCATGAAGCCTAGGCTGGCCTAGAACCTCCTATACATCCCAGCCTGGCCTCAAACTCATACTTCTCCTGAGTCCTAGGACTACTGGTGTATACCACCACACACAGCTTGGATTATGTACTTTAAATTGGAGAACTGTGGTGTCATTAAAATAGCCTTCAGGACCAAAATCACAGTAGCATACATGCCCATTGGCAGTGTGTGGCCCCCTTCAAAGAGCAGGGTTGGTAGTCAGTCACCCTCCTTCATGAGCCAGCATCATTACCAAGGGCAGACCCTGGGCCTCCCACAAGTTTGGAGGCAGTACAGTCCCACACAGAGCCTGGAGGCCATTGTGATCACTGGGAAGGGGAGGCACCATGTTTAAACAGGCACCTGCCATGTCAAGTTTCTAGGAAGAGAACAAGTGTATATATGTATGAAAAGTCTAAAAGGAATCTAAAGCCATCCCAGGGTTCCACCCGCTTTACTGTACCTCTCTCCCTATTTGGGAATACCACACCCATACTTTGGGCAGCCACATACGGGCTCATCGACATAGCACAAGGGGACACAGCAATTGCTAAGTGGCACACCTTCAAAGGACAAGACAGCCCTGTCAACAAGACACACAGGAAGCAACAAAAATGAACTCCCCCCACTCCTAAAAACAGAAATACTGTGATTCATTGAAAAACGAAACTACCAAAGCCACAGAGAAACCTTGTCTCGAAAAACTAAAAAAAAAAAAAAGACAAAAAGAAAAACAAAACTAAATTACTTTTCATAAAGCTAAAGAATCTAGTAGAGGGGAGGGAGGAAGAGGGCTCTTGGCATAATGCCCCATACATCCCAAAGAAAGCAACTCAAGGACGCCACCCCCATCCCGCTGCTTCCTGGAAACATCTGTGTGCTCCCCCTCTAGCCCACCAGGCGTTCTGAAAGCACAAACGCCAAGACTTGTGGTATCCTACTCATTCAAAGACAAAGACCCAAGTTTTGCTCAGCTGGAGGGAGATCATTCAGAAAACCTGGAGTGTGTTTTATTTAAAATTCCTAGAGTGTTATCATGGAAAATTGTTTTCTGGCTTTGAAGGGTGAAGGGAAATGTATGTGCTGTTCTGAAGCAAAATAGAACGGTGGCCTGGGTCTGCTATTCTAAGAATTTCAGCTAATAAAATGTTTTGTTCTTTCAAAATCTTAAAATTGTTCAGATAGACTTGTTGCTAATTTATTTGTTTGTTTGACACAATATCTGGGCAATCCAGGGTGGCCTCAAACTTGCTATGTAGTCAAGGAGGACCTTGAACTCCTCCCCTCCTGCTGTCACCTCCCAAGTACTGGGATTGCAGGCAAGCACCTCCCTGCCCGGTTCCCTGTCCCTAATTTAGGCTATTTTTAAAAGAACAATGGTAATTATCTTCAGTTTTATTCCGCTTTGTCTCTTAGATTTAGATCCTAATTCTACGGGAAAATGGGCATAGTTTCAGATTCCTACACGACAAGGCTGTTTGTTGCCTCATTTGGCATAATGTTGTTAACCCCACTGCTCATGTGATACCTTTTATTTTGTTTTGTTTATTTTGTTTTTTGAGCTGAGTTTCTCTGTGTAGCCCTGGCTTGTAGACCAGGCTGACCTTGAACTCAAGAGATCCACTTGCCTCTGCCTCCGGGGTGCTGGGGTTAAAGGTGTGTGTCACCACCTCCAGGCTGTGCCACCACTACCCAATGCGATACATTTTTAATTTATGAAATCCTGACATTCTAACAAGTTGTTAAATGTATAGCTTCTTGTCTCTGCATTTCAAGAGGCTGGACATTCCAGTTCTTCCTACACACACATTAGATATATACAGTAGGAGAGGCACAAGTTAGAAGTATGTCTCCTCCTAACCCCCCCCCATTGAAAAAAGAATGTATGTCTTCCACTTAAGCCCAGCAAAGACCAGAGTCTATTTCTTTTGAGTATACACCCACATGCTAGGCTCAACAGTTCATTCTGCTATCCTTGATATTTAGACATATTAAACCAGGAACTGAACTGAAATTTAACTAGATGATAGTATTTATTTCTGGTCAACCCAGAACCATGCAGGTATTTAAAACATCACTTGGACAAACCAGAAGCCTCAGTACACTGGGGTTTTTATTCAGTTGACTGTCCTGCTATTGGTTTGTTTCTCGTTTTAGACACTAGATTATCTTTGAAATACAAACACAGAAGATCAGCTAATGAGAAAACAATTTTTGGTAGAATTTTTCCTCTTTGAGAAGTGTCTATTATTATTTCTTCTAGGATTTATTTTTATTATTATTTTTAATTGAGTTGTCGGGTGTGTGAGTATAGTGCCCTCATAACCCAGAAGGAAGCAACAACTCTCCAGTTGCTGGAGGGTGCTGGGACCTGTACCTGGGTCCCCAGCTAAAGCAGCACGCATTAACTGCTCAGCCCCTCTTTGCAGTCCACCATTAGCATTTCTTACTGTACCGTTCTGCTAGCACTAAAAGCTTTCAGTTTTGTATAGCTGGAAAGACTTTTATTTTACCTTTGCTTTTGAAAGCATAAAGAATTCTAGAGCAACACTGTTTCTAAAGATGCTACTTCTGTCACTTTCGTTAAGATTTAAAAATATTGTGCACACATGCCTCTGTGTGCACATGAGGGAAAGAAACTGTGGAGGCCAGAAGAGCGTGTTAGATCCCCGGAGCTGGAGTTACAGGTGTCTGTGAGCAACTCAGCTGGGGATCCTGGGAACCAAACAGGAACCCTTTGCAAAAGCAGTTAAGTGGCTGATACAACTCTCCATCCCCTACTTCTCTGTCTCTTGACTTGGATTTGAAAACAGGAACATGCTGTTATCTTTACCTTTGCATATAAAGCCATCCTCTCCCCTCCCCAGCAACTTTTTTTTTCCATTTTTCTGTTCTGGGTGTGGTGGTATATGTCTGAGCATTCCCAGTTACTCCAAATACTGACACAGGCAGGTGACTTGAGCCAGTCTGGGCAATAGAACCAGACAGAAGAAGAAAACCTGGGCATGGTGGCAAACTGCTCAGGAAGCTGAGGCAGGAAGATCTCGGTCTTGGGGACAGCTTGAACTTCATAGCAACATCTTGTTTCAAAACAAGAAAAGGAGAGGAAAGGAAAGTGTTTTCCCCCCCTCTGGTTTTAAGCAATTTGATAACGACCTGTCTTGCTGTGGTTCTTCCACGAGCTTCTTGGACAGGGGTTTAAGTGAGCATCTTGGAAGCTGCTCTCAGTAAGTATAGACCATCTGCAACCATGTATCTTGAAGAATTTTCTTCCAGCTCCTCACAGCCACTGCCACAGCTGCGTCACTCTGTTGCTGCCCATTTAAAACCTGCTGTGTCAGCACATCTGCTCTTCTGCAACCGTTTCACATGTACAAGGCCTTTGGGGGCTGATGCTGACTTCCTGGGTCCTACCTAGCCTGCTCACACTCTCCCTGCGCAGTTCAGTAACCGTTTCCATGTCTCTGCCATTCATTTCATTTTGTCACCTTTCCTGCTAAGTGGTTTCTCTCCTGTTGGAGAGCATATTTTCTTCTTCGCACACGTTACTAATTTTCAATCAATTATTTTGAGTATTGTGAGTTTTACCTTTGGGTTCTGGATAGCATTATGTTCTTTTTGTTGTCATTGCTCCCTCCCCCTGCCCCCCCTTATGGGTATTCACATGTGTGATAGCGGTGGCAGTGGGGGGGTGGTGAGAGGGGAGGTGGTCAAAGTCATGGTCTCCAGTACACTAGGCAAGCGCTCTTCCAACTAAACTAGATCTCTAAGCCCACCCCACCCCCCGGCTTTTTTTTTTTTTTTGTAGTACTGAAGACTGAACTATGGGCTTTGTCCACAAGCTGGTGAGAACTCCTTCAATATTCTTGAGCTTTGTGCTAAATTGTAGATAAATTATTTCACAACATTGTGATAATCTGGGCTTGCTTTTATGTTTTATTTGGTAGCCTGTAGACCTGGGCTCAATTTACCCCATTACTATGGCAACAGCTTTCCCAGAGTGGTGATATTTTGTTTATGATCTAACAAATAAAGCTTGCCTGAAGGTCAGAGTGCAAAGCTAGACACACTAGTTAGCCATAGAGGCCAGGCAGTGGTGGCACACACCTTTAATCCCAGCAGGCATACTAGTTAGCCACACACCTAGTTAAGAGCTAAGCCACTAGTTAGCCATAGAGGACAGGCAGTGGTGGCCACACCTTTAATCCCAGCACTCGGGAGACAGAGGCAGATGGATCTGCCTCTGAGCTACATGAGAATGAATCAATCTAAAAGAGAAACAGAGTTCACACCTTTGATCTCAGCACTTGGGATGACACACCTTTAATCCCAGCATTAGAGAGCAATATAAGACAGTTTGAGGAGCAGTGTAGTCTGGAGGTGCAATCTGAGGACAGGATCACCCTTTAGTTCTAAGCATTGGTAGAGGTAAGAACTCTCTAGCGGCTGGTTACTTTGCTTCTCTGATCTCCAGCATTAACTCCTATATCTGTCCCTGGGTTTTTATTATTCGTGCTACATCCCAATGTTTTCTTATCCTTGTGTCCAGGATATTACAAGGTTTTCCAACCGAGCGGTAAGAATACAAGGCGTGTCTCAGTCTGGGAGAACTCCAGAGATCATTTCCCTCCCTCCTTCCTTCATGCTTCCAACATCAGGGGGTTAGCGCTCAGCCTTACAGAGCGCCACCTGCAGGCCAGAGGTGGTGCATGCAGTCCTTTTCCTCCCAACCACTCCCCCCCCCCGCTTCCCCTTCAAGGTCTAACCCACTTTCCACTCTAGATTCCCACCACTGTCTGACAGCGCCCTTTGCTCTCCCCAGCGCTACTATATGAATGTTCTCTCCCAGTCCACGGGGAGATGACAAAATCTAAGTGCAAGCACTTAGGAGCTCCTACAGCCACAGACTCAGTAATTTAAAAATCAGTCAATTGTGTTAGTCACATAAGCCAGGACTCATATTTTGCCCTTTTCATAGTAATTTTCCGTTATTATACCGAGTTGGGGCCAAGGGTATAGCTGAAAGTGGTAGCATACTTGCCTAGCATGGGCAAAGCTCTGGGTTTGATTGCCAGTGTCAAGAAACCATGTTTAAAATCTCTACATATTCACATTGTGTCACTAGTTTCTAAATACAGTATAACGACTGTGTACCTAGCATACACATTGCGTTAGGTACCATAAGTATCTCAGGGATGATGTCAAGTACGTGAGAGGCCACACACGGGGTATAGGTGGATATGACTCCATTTTATATAAGAGAAGATGGCACCCATTGATGTGGAGAGAAGGGGAGGGAGAGAGAGAGCTGGGGGCACCATTTCCTATAGTCAACAAGGTTATGGTGGCTATCTTGGAGAGGGACAGTTCCTGCTAATTGTCCTTATCTTCCTTGTATGGTTTTCTTCCATCTAAATGTTGTTCCCATTACCAGATATTGTTTATATTTAAAAAAAAAACTAGGAAAGCCAAAACATCCACTCAGCTCAAGACACTGTCCTCATCTGCCATCTCTAAAGTGCCTCTCCTTGTCCCTCCCACACCAAGTCCCTCCCCTGCCCCTCCCACACCAAGTCCCTCCCTGCCCCTCCCACACCAAGTCCCTCCCTGCCCCTCACACACCAAGTCCCTCCCCTGCCCCTCACACACCAAGTCCCTCCCCTGCCCCTCACACACCAAGTCCCTCCCCCTGCCCCTCACACACCAAGTCTGTTTGGGCTCACTTCATCTTAAAGATGCCCTTGCCTGAGTCTCTCTGCATTTCAGTCATTTCTCCCTATAGAAAGTGAGTACAGTCTTCCCACAATACACTTCTGCACACAGACACGCCCCCGAAGTTGCCTGTGACCATCTTCCTGACCACCCAGTTCCCAAAAGAGCCACTGTAGCTCTTCTCTGAAGACCTCAGTCTCTTTCCCTTCTGTAGTCTCTCCTGCGTCTCTGGCCCTCCACTCTGTAGATCTGCACATCATGGGTTTTCATAGTTGGTTTTCTGCCTCTCCTGATGCCATAAGCCATTTGACTGTAACCTAAGTGCTAGGACTGAACAAAAAATGCATATGTAAAAGCAGGAGCTGAAACATTAAATACAGACGACACGTGCCGACCATGTGAAATGCCTGTGTCTGGCCTGAAGAAAGAGTAGAGGGTAAGCACTTTAAAGTTCACTCTTATTCTTTTTTGGGTTTCAAGACAAGGCTGTCCTGGAACTTGATCTATAGACCAGGCTGGCCTCGAAGTCAAAGATCCGCCTGCCTCTGCCTCATGAGTGCTAGGATTAAAGGCCTGCACCACCATGTCCAGCTTCGGAAATGCTTTTCAAATCCACTGCCAGGAGCTCATCCAATGAATAATTTATACTCTAGCTAGCAAAAGTCAACTACAGTATAAGTCCCTGTATAATGGAGAAGTCGGAGTGAGGCCGTTCTCCACTCTCTAAATGAAAGAGAAGTTTGCCACTCTTGACCCCCCCCCCCGCCGGTTTCACGGTCTTTCTCCCCCAAAGCGCAGTGCAGCTGTGTGGGGTACTCACTGGAGTTGAGGAGGATCATGGCCTTCACACAGAGATACTCTTTGTGCTGGAGTTTTAACTCACGGAACCTTGACGTCGTCGCCAGGAGCATGTCAAAGATTTCCAGGATGCCTTCTACGCACTTCCCCTCATCCCTGCAGGAGTTCATTTGGGAAGTGAAGGAACACAGAGCATTAGACAGCCATCCAGAGACGTCATCTTGACTGTTCTCTTGTCTATCCTATCACTATAGGAGGCATTAGTAGGAGCATTAACAATGGGAAGTCGCTAGTACTACATCCGTATAAAGAAAACGAGATATGCTCAGCTCAGGCTCAGTGGTGGAACACTTTGCCTAGCGCTCAAGGATGTAGGGTAAATTCCTTAGCATTGAAGGGGGTGCATTTTCTAACACAGGGCATCTCCTAAAAATTCTTCAACAAATTTTTCAGGTAAAAGTATGCCCTGGGACTACCTGTTTCCTTCTGTTTTGTTATAAAAGGGCTTCTTGGAGACATTGCCACTCCTACGGCTTATATGCAAGCCACAGTGGTCAACCAACTTCCATGGAAATGACGGAGCTTATTAAAAGGGAATGCCAATGTGGGAGCCTGCCAGAACCAAATATTTCAAGAAAAACTTTCGTATCTATGGCTGAGTTTAGAAATTTGTCTAGAAACCAGGAGACAGGCAAGTGACATTTGAAGAAAGCAAATGTGACACACAGAAATTATAATTGAAGGTAGGTTAGTCGGGGAAAAGAGAAAGACATGGGGACAGGTGACAATTTCTTTCCTTTGACTGGCTTAAGTGGGTTTTTTGTTCCTTTAGGTTTTGGGCTTTTTGTTTCGTTGTATTGAGATAGGATCTTGCTGTGTAGACTTGTATTGAGACTGGTTTATTTCCTGGTCTCCCTACCTCCACCTCTGAAATACTGAAATTACAGATGTGTGCCACAACACCCAGCCTGAAGATGGCATTTAAACAGAGGTTTCGGACAAACCTTAAAGTGTGCTTTATAGGAATGAGCTGTTATGTGTATCTTTGCAATACATTGTTATACATGAACTAGAAAGCACCCATTTCAATGCATACCAGCCAGACACACATTACTCCACCTCACTGCTCTCAAAAACTGGCCGTTCTCTTCGGTTTCAGAGCTACTGGAGGGCTGTGACTAGCAGTTAGATGATTTTGCCATAAAATCGTGCCAGTTCTGCAAGCCTGCAGGACACAGCAGTGGGCACCATGGCAGACACGGGCACCTGTGGGGTCTGCTTTTAATCTCTTACTACGCTATAAAGGGGCATTGAAGTAAAACAACAACAAACAAAAACCTGACTGTTCACTGTCTCCTCTCACCCCCAAGCCAGGACATTTGCAGTCAATGTGACATTTCAGGAGAGAACCCTTGTGGAAGTCGTGTGAACCGACACCACTGAATGCTACCTATCTTGCCTTTAGGTGTTTACCAGCAACTCATCAGGACCCTGTATTCCACGGCATTCAGAGTCCACAGACTCACCCACACACAGCCTCAAGCACACAGCCGCTCACTTTGGCGGATCAGCACAGGAACTTCTGAAAACAATTGCCCCTCTCTGCCAACAGGGAGCTAAGAGACAAAACATCAGCGTTCTCTAGAACTAACACACAGGTGTTTTGCCTGCATGTATGCCTGTCTTAGGGTCCCCTGGAACTAGAGTTACAGACAGCTGTCGATGTGGGTGCTGGGAATTGAACTCTGGTCTTCTAGAAGAACAGCCAATGCTCTTAACCACTGAGTCATCTCTCCAGCTCTGCACTAACTCACAGGTTAAAAAACAATATCTTGGAGAATCAGAACCCTGGGCAAAGAGGACCCAAACCTATGCAAACCCTGCTACTCCATACACCCTATCTTCCACTGCCCCTAAACCTCCTCCTCAGCTCTGAATTCTTATAACGGTGGCAGGAGCCCCGAATACAGCAAGTGGAGAGACAGTACCTGTGCCCTGAATGCCCCTTGTGACTAATTGTCACGACACTCTGCCCACTGAAGGATCATTGCTTGAAATTATAAGTGCTGAGCTTCAAGATATTTGATAACCAGAGAAGCCAATCTGAATACACCACCAAAGAGGAAACGAACAGACACTAACTCTTGCACTGACTTTTTCATTTTGTTTTGTTTATTTTGCTTTTTTGAGACAGAGTCTAATTATGTAGCCCAGGCTACCTTCAAAATTGTGACCCTCCTGTCTCTGCCTTTCCAGGACTACTAGGTATGGGCTACCATGCCCAACTGTGAATTGATAGTTTAATAGTTTGACTTTTTATTCTTCTGTAAAATTCAAACTCAAGTGGAGCTATGTAGTTATGAGGCACACATACATACACACCACACACACACATTCTCTCCCAAAAGATAGGTCAACTCAGCTGAAATCAATCCTATTTTCCAGAAGTTACCACCTATGCCAAAGAAAAACCACTAAATATCAGGATTAATACCCATTTCCACATTGAAAACATTGCATCCTAATAAAATGAATACTTCAAAACTAAGTTGTTTAGGTATTTGGGGCATCTGGAGCCCCAGTAAATGCTGCAACTTCAAGTAATTCACACATGTACCTCATAGAAAAAGTGACATTCTAAATGATCCTAAAGAACCAGGCCTGGCTGTTTCCTTCCTAACGCTTGGGACAAGCAACCGTTTCCTCTTATGCAGGCTTCAAGTACCTTCAATGACAACATAGGCTATAGAATGCAAATACAGTTTTAGAAAATAAATGAGTCATGGAGGGACATAAAGTATGCCTCCAAAGTGACTCTTAATAACATCCTGCTTTGAAATGAGTCATGCAGAATAAAGTGAGGAAGGACTGTTACAAACTGAGGTCCATGCCATTCACTTGTAATTAGGGATCAAAACCTAGTTATGAATAAGAATGTCAGATGGGAATTAAGATAATTAAAGATAGAGACACGTGATTAGAGTGTTAACATAGGAAACAACACGGCACTCAAGTCAAGCTATTTATAGAAGTACACTTCAAGCGAGTGACAAATAAAGATTAAATTAGTAATTGCATGTGGAGTAGTTTCTTGAATGCTTTTCCATAAAAAATATCCTGTTTTGATACAATGACAAAATATTGAGTGGGCTTGTCTTGCTTTGGCATTGCCTATTTTCCATCTGCATCTGTATCTGCTGGGCTCCGCATCAATTTATCTCTGTAGGTGTGGCAACTGGACAAGGGTACTGGGCCTAATTGATGGCTTAGCACATGGGAGGGACTTCATAAATACTTAACCAAAATGAAATTAGTTGGCTACAAAGGGTAAATTCAAATATAGGAGTAACAGCCTATGATCTTCAAGAACATTCAGCATATCAATACTGAGTGTGAATGCAGAGTCTAAGAACACTCACAGTCATAGGAGTCTGGAGAGCCCTACCAGTGTTCACGGTGTGGCACCAGCCTAGCTCCACATGTCCAGTGACGGGTCTGTTGACAGCTTCCTGATGACGCTGACGCAAAAGTGTGTCAGCATGCATTTTTTTAAATTTATATTGCATCATGTATGTGTATGTCTGTATGTCTTGTGTATGTGTGTATGTGTGTCTTGTGTATGTGTGTATGTGTATGCATGCCTGCATATATGTGTGTGTATGTGTGTTGTAGTTAAAGGTCAGAACAATTTTGTGTAGTCAGTGATCTCCCTTCACCACGTGGGTCTTAGGGATCAAACTCAGGTCTTCAGTCTTGATGAAAAGCTCCCCCACCCACTGGGCACTTATGCATTTTTGTGCAAATAGAAGCTTAGACTCCACACTAGGTCTTCACATGGATTTATGTTTCTAATGGATGCCAAAAGAACTACCTTGCTACAAATAACCCCACATCACGGGGTCCCCCTCGGCCTTGGTGCATTCAAGGTTGTTTCGTTTTGTTTTCTGTAGAAACCTCAGTAAGACAAATGGATACAGGTAGGGGGTTTAACTCAGTGGCCAAGTGTCTACTTAGCAAGCACAAGGCTCTTGGTTTTGTATCCAGCACCAAAAATAAACAGAAACCAAAATCCCGACAATAAGAAGTGTTTAGTGCCCATGTTCATGTGAAACACTGTCTGAAGAGACTCTGACATGCCAGGGGTCGGGCCAGAGGGTAGCACACTCATACTGAAAAAAGGGAGAGTTAAGTTTACTCCTGTACATGGTCTCCAGTTACTGAAACACTAGATTTGGCATCCATCTAGAAATTGAAACAAAAAGTAAAATCATTTTAGCCCCTCTATGCATCAATGGGTGGATCAGCTAGCATAGTAGAATGACCTGTAGGTGTTTATGTATATGTGTTTGTGAAGCAGAATGGATGAGTGAGGCAATGGCCTGGCCAAGTATTTAGCCTTTCAGCTTGACTGACAGCCCTGAGGTGACAGGAAGAGTGTGTTTCTGAAGCGGGTAGGAATAGACCCAGTCACAGGGCTATGTTGTAAGGTAAAAGAATAAACTATGAAATCACTTTGCCTTTGGCCTTCTCTTTCCCCTGCCGATTCTCTTTCCCACGGGGGCGATGCGCTATGTGTATGGACTTTAGGACCAGATCCCCGTGTCTCCACCGTCGCTTACTACCCTGCCTGTAAATCAGTTGCCTCACTTCCCATTTCCCTAACTGGAGAACTGGAATGATGAACGGTGTTCACTCCCAAAGGGCTTTTGGAAAGATTAAATAAGGAGACACATCAAGTGTTTAAGATGGTACCTGGCGCACACGGGCTAATCAGTTAGCTACGTGACGGTCACTGGAGGGTCTGGTACCTGCCCCACTGCTCTGGCCTTCCAGAGACTCCCTCTCTCGGTCACCACTTGGGCTTGCTCCTGCTCAAGCCACATCCCACGCTCCAGCTCTTCCCATGGGATTTGTTCTCCACCAAAACACCTCCATTACTCAGAACAGTGCTCTCTGTCAATGCCATCCATGACAACAGGCAGAATGGATGCTGATACCTTGGGGCAGCACTCTTCATCTGCGCAACGTGCCAGTGAGGGTCTTCTGATGACCTACAGTGGTAATAGGATTATGATGCAAGAGTTGGGGTGGGCACTTTTGGTTCACAGCACCAGGCAGCCTCCTGACCTTGTGCTCAGTCTAACGTGCTGAACACTTAACCCTAGTCCCTTTTCCACGGAGATGGTGTTCAAACCACTCAAAGGTACACCAAAAGTTTTCTATTTTTTCCCTATAACAAAGCTCGACTGTTGTTGAACATTCCAGTTTTCCATAAACAGCTCAACTAAAGCAAAGTTTAGTTCCTACTCTCTGCCATCTTTAAACAAAAACTAAGCACAACCGCTCTGTGACATCGTGTCATGTCCCAAAGCACTGTCATGTCCCAATGTCTGCTAACTTTCATCTGGCCTTAGTAACGAGCCCTCCCACCACACGTTCCAAAAATACAACTGGAGATAAATGATACCATTGGCATTAAAGCTATAGCCCATGAATATAATTGGAAGGGTTATACAAATTTTATCACCTGTCCAGAGATGCAACTTAAGAATATGATATGAGAACAGAATTTTTAATGCAAAAAAAATCTATGTTGACTGTGCACTCAGTGGCCATTACCCTGCCTATGACTGTTGGTGCACCACTGATTAGAACGGATTGTGGAAAATGAATCCTGGTACCCATGCCCTCTTCTTCATGGGTTCTTGACCCAGTGAAGGAGTGGATGGTGTCATCATCCTCTAATTGAGCTTTCAGATGTGAGAATTTAATTACAGCATCTAGGACTTGGCTCCCACTCACTTTGCTTAGTCCAAAAGATCAGAGATGAAATGCAAAGTACTTATTTCTCACCTGTCCAGAACGAGGTCCGGAGCAAAGATGAGCTTGCCGGGGTGGTCGATTGAGCGCCACATCAGCCCCACCATTAATACCTCCATCCAGCAGCTTTCCAAGAGCCGGACTTGGTCCAACAGGCTGAGCTCCACAAAGCCTGGGGAAACAAGAGCCCATGAAACACACCTCCCCCTCTGTAAGGGAAACACCAATAACTGGAGCCCTACATTCTATACTCTTGCTTTTGGGATAATTGTTCACCTCTCCCAAAACCCCTCGGCAATCCGTTTCTGTAAAGACAGAATGGCAAGTTATTAAACACTAAGGAAACTCAGACAACAAAGGGAAGTAATCAACCAGTATTTCAAAGAGGCAATTAAATGTTGGTTAAAGGAACCTCAGCTGTGCAACTTGCAGCTTCCAGCCTCCGGCCCCTCCAGAAAATAAACAAACTCTGTTTAATATTTCTAAAGAATCATTGGCTCCCCCAGATAGATGCTAGAAAGGGCCCAGAAGGCAGAGCTAGGCTTGTTAGCTGTGACTATACTATCCTAATAATTCCTGCACCCTGCTGAGGGAGCCAAAGCTCAGCTATCAGAGAGGCTGTCTGTCTGTCCCAATCTAAGGCTTGGAGGGTGGCTGGATGGGGTAGGTGGAGTCTAGATGACTGGGAGCGGAAGGTAAAGCAGAGAGTAGTGCTAGTCTCTGCAGAAAGCCAAGGCTTCAACTAAAATAGGTTTTCTGACTGTTGAACATTCCCCATGCAGAGTTATGTCTGTTCTGGGAAGGGGTGCTGTCTCTAGGTGATTCTATCCTAAAGAGAAAAGATAACAACTGAAGCAGCTGATACTCTGATGGCATGAATTAGCCACAGCACTAGAAGGAAACACAGAATTCCTAGGGAGTGAATGCCTTTAGCACAAGGCCAAGGACATAGGAACTTCTTCCCTAACACACACTAATAGGAGGGGGCTGTGAACACAGAAGTCAAAGTACAGCCTTGGAGTGAAATGGATTCTGGTGTTGAATATCAGCTTAGTCCCTTTCTAACGAGAGAGAGAGAGAGAGAGAGAGAGAGAGTTGTGCGTACTAGGGAGCAAAGCTGGACCTTGAGCTTGCTAGGCAAGTACTCTACCGCTAAACTCCATCCCTAACCCCTCTCCCCCAGCTAAATTAATCTCTTGTCAAATCTGTTTTTCTTGTGGGAAAAATGGAAGTGATCTTGCCTCCCTCTGAGAATTTGCAGGTAAGATTGCTTATAAATATTTTACCAGTGTTACTACAATGCAAGACCATGCATGCTCATACCTGTGGATAACGGTACTGCAAATGTGCGCAACAGAGAAATGGATGGATAATGAATTTAAGCACGGACAAATCCACAGCCAGAGGGATGGCTCAACCAGCAAAGTACTTTCTAGGACACTATAAGGACCCGAGTCTGATCCTCAGGACCCATGTAGCACCCACATACAATCCCAACACTAGAGAGAAAGAAACAGAAAGATCTCTGGGGCTCACTGGCCAGCCAGTCTAGCCAATCAATGAACTCCGAGTTCAGTGAGAGCGCCTGTACCAAATTATAAGAAGGCAAGCAACTGAGAAGACACCAATGTCGACCCCTGGCCTCTAGACCCTCACATGCGGGCATGCACACACACAAGCACATATATGCACCACACACAGACTAATCCTTTCAGAGTCACATGCCTGTGCTCACTTCAGGTCCTCACCCCATGTACCTTCCAATCTCACAGTCATACGTAAGACACCTGCAAATCTTTCAAAACGCTGGGCTTGAAGAAAGATTAGCTGGGGGAGGGGGGAGTCAAATAGCTTCCCGAGGTCAGGAATCTCATCTCCGTCTTTCCTGTGAGATCCTGCAACTGGTGTTTGGGAAACACTTGAAATAAAAACTAGAAGAAAGTGCATCGGTGTTTTTCTTCTCTGGGAAACAGCAGACAAAATGAAATAATTCTGGCAAAGGTGGAGACACCAGACAAAACAAAGCTGGGAAGCAGCTCTCCAGAAAGCGCAGAGGAAATGGGGCCAGCCAGCAACAGCCACGAGAGACCCTTGCACGAGGGGCCATGGCTCCCACAGCTCTCCATCCATCTGTTCACCAAGTTTCTAACAGCTGCCTCTCCCAGCTACTCCCCCACTGTCCCAGGGCCACGGGAACCTGGATTAGAATTCAGAGAGACACTTTATTTCTTAGATGGTTGGAAAAGAAGTGGGTGGCCCGCCCTGTGAGACTCTCATCTCAAAACAGAACAAGATGTAGGGCTGGCACCATGTCTCAGTCAGTAAAAATGCTTTTCATGCAAGCCCGATGATGTGACTTTGATCCCTGGGACGAAAGGAGGAAGGAAAGAGCTGACTCCTGCAAGTTGTTCTCCAACCTCCACACATGCATGAGCGGTCACACATGCACACACACACATGTACATGCACAATGTACTAATGATAGCAATAGTAATAATAAACAAATGCTTACAATAATATTTTTAAATAGGTGCATCCAAAAAACAAGCTATTCAAACATCACAGCTCAGGCTAGCCTACCTTGAATATACTTAGAACACTTTGGTCAGCTTAGAGTTTGGCAAAACCATTTAGTACAAGGCTTGTTTTATAATAAATCATCAAATCGCTCAAGTGATCTCTTGACTCTTCTCATACTGAAGGAGAAAGCCAGAATGAGTAAAAGTGCATGCTTTCAACCATCATGCCACAGTGAAGAACTGTGAGCATCATCAGTTGGGGACTAGGTGCAAGTGGGCTTAGGGAAATATAGGGTGAAAAAGTACATATTCTGCATGACCCCATCTTGATAGCAGGAAGATTTACTGACCCATTGGTTCACACTACTTCAACTGCTGATTTACTCTATTTGTATATAATACCGATTCTTTTTTATTTTTGGTTGTGAGCCTAGCCTTTAACAGCTGAGCTATCCCTCTAGCCCCCGATTCTTTCTTTATTGGAGTGACAATTTATAAATCCCTATTTAGCATCTGACAAGCTGTCTACTTCCATACTGTGAGACTGTCTCTATCCTTTCCTGACTTACCATGCCCTTCCTCACAAGCTGACAAGTCATCAGCCAAGAGACTGGTCAACATGGAACCCACATTTCTACCCTTTAACCGGGCCCCAAGACCCTAGACTCAACCAGGTGACCCTAACTCCAGTTCCAAAGCCTGCATATGTTCCTTCTCAGATTTTATCACAGACCACACCTGGGCACAAGAGGTAAGCAATAGGCATTGTCTGCAGGAGACACGAACATCAGAGTGTTACAGTGTGTGCAGGATGGATCTGGAAGTCAAAAATGAATAGAGTCCGCTATAAGAAGAGGCTCTATACAATGCTTCCTGAACTACTCTGTCTGATATAAAACTCAAGAGTCTAGAACTCTAAAGAGAATCTAACCTTCCAGGGCATCCTGAGGGTATATATGTCAAGACAGGAAGAAAACCACCATCGTTCTAAGTCACAAGTTTTGCTGAGAGGTTAAAGAGCATGCACCACTCTCGCAAAGGACCCAAGTTCAATTCCTAGCACCCAGGCTGAGTTCAATTCCTAGCATCCACATTGGACAGCTCACTATTACCCGTGATTCCAGCTTCAGAGGATCTGACATCTCTGGCTTCCTTGGACACCTGCGGTTATGTTCACATAGCTCCATACAGATGTGTACATATACACAAAATCAAAATAGATTTAAAAAATAATCTTATAAATAAAAGGTTACAAAACAAAGTGTCAAGCAAACTATTACATATCCAGATGAAGTTCACTGTCCCCAAAATGTGAGAGACCGGCCTTGTTACAGAATAAAGTCAAGAAGGAGAGAGTCCTACCAGGGATTTTCTTGGCCCAGCCAATCATGTGCACCAGTTCCTTGTCGGCCAGCTTAGTGAGGGACATCATCATGGAGGCCTCGGTGAAGGGCATGTTGGGACGGCTCACTAGCACATTGGGCGGCTCCGCCTCCAGGAGGGTGAGCACCAGCTGCTCTGGGCTCAGGGTGCTCAGCAGCAGCTCCTTCACCCGGGGGACATGCCCACTGTTTCTCTTGGCTTTGCTCAGGCAATGCACCTGCTCACTGGGACTCCTCTGTCTTCGTACTATACGGTACCCGCACCTTTCTCTCCTGGACCCTAAAGAGGAGAGCAGATGACAGCACAGTGGTTTCTCTGCCCAAGACTGCAGCTCACTGAATGACCAGTCTAAAAATGATGAGGGGCTGACGGTGTGGGTGAGTAGGTTAAATGCTCCACTCACGTGTGCAAGGCCCTGAGTTCGACTCCCAGTCCCAGCACTATAAGAGGACGCTTGTGTTGACATCATTCCATTTTTTATTTTGGAGTCTGTGAGCCACAAAGATAACGACTGTCTGGATGTATTAGCAACATAGCGTGTGTTTGGGGACTTCTGTTCTGCTTCAAGGTTATCACTGGCCACTGAATCTGTTTCTCTTCTAAAGAGCACTGATAGACCCCAGGTTCAAAGATATGAAGTTAGACATTTTCCTCAAGTAGAAAAATAAGGAAAAGTCAGGAGTTTAACACTGCTATTTCCAGTTAGCAAATAATACATGCTAACGACATTTTAAAAACATTTATATACATGTACATATCTTTTTCTTTTTATATACTTACACAAATAAATATATTTCAAATAAATTAACTGAAAAGGCCTGGAAAATACAAAAGAAAATTAATTTTGACATAAATTATTTCAGTATTTTTTTATGCATCTTTATATTTTATAAACTGAATTCAAATCCTAGTATATACACAATTGCATAAACTGCTCCTAATCTTATTGAAAATATGATGCTTGTGCTGGGGAGACAGCTTGGTGAGTAACAGCATCAGCCATACAAGCTTCATGACCTGAATTCAACACTCAGAATTCAAGTAAGCAAAGCCTTACATACTAGGTGTAGTGGTGCACGCCTTTGAATCCAGCACTCAGGAGGCAGAGGCAGGTGGATCTCTGTGAGTTCGAGGCCAGCCTGGTCCACATAGTGAGTTCCAGGACAGCCAAGTCTACACAATGAGAACCTGTCGTGGGAGAGAAAAAAAAAAGCCAAATATAGCATTATATTTGTAATCCCAGCACTCCCACAGAAGACAGAGACAAAAGAACTACCCAGAAGCCCCCAGGCCAGCTAGCCTAGAGAAATCAGTGCCAAAAAAAAAAAAAAAAAAAAAAACAAGAGAGACACTGCCTCAACAGGATGGAAAGAGACAATTCAACTCCCAAAGTTGTCTGCTCTCCATGATGTTCCGTAACACATATGCACTCCATATATACTTGAACATACAATCATAAACCAAGTTCACAATCTATAAAGCATTCCATTCTATTAATATATCATTTATTTCACTGGAACCCAGGCAGAGCCTAGAGGATCGCCACAAATTCCAGGCCAACTTGAGGTACATAGTAAGTTCCAGGCCAGCCTGAACTATGCAGTAAAGGAGACCATACCTTGAAAAACAAAAACTAAAATGTCCCATGCTGATATAAGGCTATGCTATTATAATTTCTTCATTAAGTATTGCAGTGAAAATATGCCTTGTTCAATTACTTCTTTATAATAAAGTCAAAGAAGTTAACTTGTTCAAACAAGAAATAAACACATTAAAAATTGTATAGTCATTGATAGATTACCTTCCAAAATATTTAAAAATTCATAATCTAAACAGTAATTTAAGGACTACCTATTTTCCCATAATATTGGGCATCAGTGGTACTTTTAATCTTTGTTGATTTTGGGAACGAGTCAACAGGCTTTTCTTATTTTGCATTTTTAAAATTATTAGTAATATTCACAGTGTTTTCCCTTTGCATTTCTTTACTTGTATATTGCTTATCTTTTTAGGTGAGAGTTCAAGACAGGGTTTCTCTGTGCAGTCCTGGCTGTCCTGGAATTCACTTTGTAGACCAGGCTGGCCTCAAACTCCTGTCTCTGCCTCCCCAGTGCTGGGATTAAAGGTGTACGCCACCACCACCCAGCCCGGCTTGCCTATTTATTTTTATCCCTTTCTCTTCTAAAATTTATTATTTTTTCACTTTAGATTTTTTATTTCGTTAACTTAAAAGGTAGAGAAAATGTATATTTCAAGCCTTATTAAACTTATTTACCTGAAATATATGTTTACATACAGGACAAACAAATACCAAATACAGGATTTCAAGTAACTTATGGGACAGTCATTATCTATTAAAAATATTTGTCTTTCTTCCACACACACAATCACTCCTTTTTATAGTATAAAAGCTAGATGCAAACTTATCTCATTGTTAACTCTGTTGATGAAAATGGGGGCACGCTTGCTTACAGTTCAGTTAAATGCACAAACAGAAGGCTGTTTCCTCAGACACAAAGACGCCCGTGTCTCACAGTAGGACTGCGTGCTCCGTGTTCACACCACCCCATTTCTTCTCCTTTCCTTTCCCTTTTTTACTCCCCTCTCCTTCTTTATGTCCTCGTGCCCTTAGCTTAGGTATCATTTCTGCTACATACAACATCACCGACTTACGTAATGGGAACTGTATAGGACAGAGGCTGCCGTCTTCCTGTTTGAGCTGTACCTGGACTCTGCCTCTGTACTGAACATCACGGTTCCATTCTCTGGAGTATTCTGTTTTTCTCCGGAAATGCATTCAGTCCAACTGCTGAGCATACACCCTGAGTCTCGGTAGTGGTAGGATTTTCTACAGCCTTACTTATGGGAATCTGCCTCCCCTCCCCTATGGTCTTCTTATTTAAATAAGTGAGGTAGATACAAATAAACCCGTCCTGGTCTTCCGGGACCCACAACTGCACAAGCCATCTCCACAGGAGTCCCCACAGCCCCATCAGGTCTACAGGCAGAGCACCAGTCAGAAACTCTCTTCTAAAATGTATACAGGCTCTTTGTACTACACTGCTGCATGCAGCAGCTGGCTTGCTCTGTGTGTCTGACCTTTGGTAGTGGCATCTTTTGCCATATGAAGCTTTCTTAAGAGGCTGGAGAGATGGCTCAGCAGTTAAGAGCACTGGCTGCTCTTCCAGAAGACCCAGGTTCAATTCCTAGCACCCACATGGCAGCTCACAACTGAAACAATAAACTATAATTCCAGGGGATCCGATACCCTCACACAGATATACATGCAGACAAAACACCAATGCACATAAAATTATAGTAAATAAATCATAAAAAAAGAAAAATTAAAAAAGAGGCTTTAGTAAATGGTCAATTTGTTTTACATCAAGGTTATGAAAGTATTCTCCTTTATCTTCATAAACACTCGTGTGGTTAAAACCTATCTGGAGCCGGGCGTTGGTGGCGCACGCCTTTAATCCCAGCACTCGGGAAGCAGAGGCAGGCAGATCTCTGTGGATCTCTGTGAGTTCGAGGTCAAGCTGGACTGGCAGCCTCCAAAACAATACAGAGAAACCCTGTCTTGTAAATACAAAAAAAAAACCTATCTGGAATTTTATGCATATTTGTATTATGTGAGGTTGATATTTCATGTCACATTCCCCAAACCGATAAACAGTGTTCCCTATGCTTGTTATATCATAAGCTTTCTCCTGCCAATTTTAATTACCTGTCAATAATAAACTTTATTTATACAGGTGGTTCATTCCTGATTCTCTGCTCCATCTTACTGATCTGTATTTCTGAGGGAAAAGCCAGGAGTGGTCACGCAAACCTCTAACTCCAGTACCCAGGAGGTGGGGGCAGAAGGACCAGGAGTGGTCATGCAAACCTCTAACTCCAGTACCCAGGAGGTGGGGGCAGAAGGACCAGGAGCTCAAGCTCATTCTGGCTGCATAGTGAGTTCAAGGACAGCCTGAATGGACTACATGAGGCTGTTTTTATGTTTTTATGTAGCCCAGGCTGGCCTCAAACTCCTAGAAATATATTTTCCTTGACCTCCCAAGCACTGGGATTACTGGGATTAGCCACCAGACCTGGAAAAGATACATTGATATTTTTTATTACTTGAATATATATAGGTCATTTTTATTAATTTGAATACTATACCCACACACATATATTTGAATATATGCACACACACATATATATATACATATGTTGGGCATTTTTATTAATTTTAGTAGCTCCTATTTTTTTCCATTATTTACTCTTTGAGAGTTTCATATGTACATACATACATATAATTTGTTTTGATCAAATCTATCCCCCATTCCACTCCCATGTTTTATTTTTGATATAGGGTCTTCAAATGTAGCTCAGGCTAAGCTCCAACTTAACATGTAGCCCAGGCTGGCCTTGAATTTACGGCCATCTTCCTGCCTCAGCCAACCAAATGCTGAGAAGGCATGTGTACCATCACACCTAGTTCTCCTTGAATTTTGAGTCATCTTCTCAGCTGACTGATGCATCATCCAAATCTAAAAATAAATTAAATACACTAGGGCCAGGAAAGCTGGCTCAGCAATTTAGAACACGTATTGCTTTGGTAGAGGAACCAAGATCAATTCCCAGCATTCATATGGCGGCTCACAACCATCTGGAACTATAGCTCCAGGGGATCCAATGCCCTCTTCTGGCCTCCAGGAGCACAAGGCACACACATGATGCACACACATGTAGGCAAAATACCCATACACATGAAACAAATCTAAAACCTGGGACATTTTCCACTAAACATTGATTGAAAAGCCATACCACTCATCAGTTTTTAGAATGGAGAAAAAAATGACCACAAGAATGTTGACATTTAAGAAGTAATTGTAAGAAAACAGAAAATATAAACCTTTTTTAAAAAAGTCACTGTATGAGGGCTGGGGTGTAGATCAGTGGTGGAGTGCTTGCCCAGCATACACAAGGCCCTGGGTTCGATCCTTAACACACACCCCCAAAGAGCGCTAAGTGAACAAAATAGTAGTAGCAGTAGTAGTGATAATAAATAGCCTCTGGGAATCATGATAATAATATAGCTTCTAGAGATGAACAAAAAAGGTAAGCCAAGAACATCATGGAATATCAAAAGGTGATTCAGGTTAGAACTTCAACAAATTGTCTTACTTAGGAAGAAATTCTCAAATCAGTCAAAACTGTATATAAATAGAAATGTCCCTAAAGAGACTGAAACAGCAGATATATAAGCCCCAAGCTAGTGGAAGACAAAGAAAAACATAAGATGTGATCAACCAAAAGGAAGAAGTGTTACATTCAAGATAAAATATGGGTTGTTGGGGCTTTGGTTTTATCTGACCTTGTGTCTTTGATACAGGAAAGGTGACACTGACTTAGGGACATTTGAACCTAGTTTATAACCAGAAGAGTTAAAAGCTTAACATGTATCTCATTTTTTTAAAAATGTATCACTTAGCCTGGTGCATTTAATCCCAGCACTCGGGAGGCAGAGGCAGGCGGATCTCTGTGAGTTTGAGGCTAGCCTGGTCTACAGATGGAGTTCCAGGACAGCCTCCAAAGCAATAAAGAGAAACCCTGTCTCAAAAAACCAAAAAAAAAAAAAAAAGAAGCATCACTTTATTTGTGTGTGTGTGTGTGTGTGTGTGTGTGTGTGTGTGTGTGTGTGTGTGTACACTCGCACACATATGTGGAGGTCAGAGGAGAACTTGTGAGAGTAAGTTCTCTCCTTCTGCCTTGTGGGTCCTGGGAATTGAACTCAGGTCATCAGGCTTAGCCATAAGCACTTTTACTGGCTGAGCCATCTGACAAGTCCACGTGTATTTCACTTCATTAATAAAGCTATAGATGCTTAATATTAACCATAGCCCAAACAGTTAATGAAACAAAATATTTATCTTAAGACGATACTTTTCCGACTGTATGTTTGTCTTTTGCACAGTGCATGAGGAGGAGGCGTTTAACAACAGACGTATGTGCAGGGCTGGTGATCCATCTCCATTGGTAGAGTGCTTGCCTGGCATGGGCGAAGTCCTGGCTTTGATTCCCAGGACTACAGAAGCTTGGTGTAGCATGCCTTTACTCTCAGTACTTGGAGGGTAGAGTGAGGAGCTATGTTGAAGGTTGTTCTTGACTGCAAAGTAAGTTTGAGGCTACCTTGGGCTACATGAGATCCTGTCTCAAAAAATAAAAATAAAAATTAGGGTCAGGAGATAGGTTGCGAGCAAAGAGCTTGCTGTGCAAGGATAAATACTTGGATTTGATCCCCAGCACCAGCATAGAAAAGCCGGGTGCAATCCCACATGTCTGTAACCCCAGCACTGGGAAGGCAGAGGCAAGAGGATCCCTGGGGCTACCGAGGCCAGCCAGTCTAGCCAAAAAAGGTGAGTTCCAGTGCAGTGGGAAACACTGTCCCAAAAAGGGAGGCACCTGAAACTGACCTCTGACCTCCACACACATGCACACATACCTACATGCACATGTGTGCACACACAAACACATATACACACACACAACTTAAAAATTAAAATAATTTGTCTTAGGTAGAAAAGCTAGGAAATAGGATCAGCCCAGTCAGGAGTCTGGTCCTAAGCTGAGATGTAATAACTGTTTTATACTGCCTACTATCCCAGACATCCCTGTAGCCATCGGTACAGGTGCCAAGTAAAGAGATGGCATCCTAATGATGCTGAGCTATAGTCCCAGCACAGGGATACACACCAAATACATAGCTATTCAGCTTGTGTTCATGTGTTCATGGATACCTACATCACAATGTGTCTTTATAGTGAAGCCATACCATCCCAACCCACCCCACCCCTCAAGTCAACCTGGGTGGGCGTCCTTTCACCATTTAAATAACCACCTGAATACTTCAACCTAAAGGGCAGGATAGGAAACACAGAAGCCACACCCATGATTCCTCAACAATGTGGTGGAGTTAACGAGTCCTGAGCAAGTACACACCAATAGACATGTAACATAGAAGGGGATGTCTCATGGGGCTCCACCCATAGACAAAGAACTATAGGCAACTAAGGAATGCTGAAACTGGGAGAAATAGTCTTTCTCAGGGGAGAACCACCAGCCTAGTGGTCAGCTTTGAAATCATATACACACAGGTAACATTAAATGGACTGAGTAGGGGTGTGTGTGTGTGTGTGTATGTGTGTGTGTGTGTGTGTGTGTAACAGTAACAATTTTAAAACGCCATGATTTCTAGCGGGAACAAGAGGAGTACATGAAAGGGATTGGAGGGAAGAAAGGGGAGGGGAAAATGATATAATTTTAAATTTAAATGTGAATGTTATTTTTTATTTAAGGATAGTAGAAAAAGACAAATGTGAACAGAGGATTTGGAGAAAAGCAGAAACTGCCAGGATTAAAGGGAGGAGCAGGAACTGGAGGGATGGCCCAGTGTTTGAGAACACTTGCTGTTCTTACAAAGGACCCAGTGCCAGTTGCCGGTACCTGCTTGGTGACTCATAACCATCTGTAACTCCAGCTCCAGGGGACCCAGTGCCTTCTGACCTCCATGGGCACTGCATGGACATGGGACCCAGACATGCAGGCAGGCAAAATGCTCATGTAGATAAAATAGAAATCAACACATCTTTAAAGAAGGGGGAAGACGAAGAGAAACGGTTGGCACTTCCTCATTCTTTGGATAGGAGGTGTCCCCAGGGCTCATGCTGGAAGGCTTGGCTACAGTGGGTGGCACTGTCAAGAGATAACTGGGCTGCGGAGACTTTGGCTTCTTCAGTGGATTAACCTCTTCATGGGCTCATAATATAACGGCATTACTGGGAGGTGGGGAAGTGAGGTCTTGTTATTTGTGCTTAACTGAAATGCACAGCTTGTCCCTGGCCCCTGCACCCTTCATTGCTTCCTGGCCACCGTAAGGTAAACAGCTTCCCTCCCCACACACCTCCTCCATGAGGCTTCTGGCTTCCCTAACAAGCCAAGTGACCATGGACAAAACTTCTAAGATCATCAGCCAAAATGAAGTTTCCTCCCTTCAACTGTTTCCCTCAAGGCATTTGTCACTGCGATGAGCACGAACACATTCTTTCTGTTCCGTTGAGGCAGAATACCCATCTAGGTGACACCTCTTGGCTCATCTGCAATTCCCAAAGAGATTAGAAAGCCTCACCCACTCGTGTTTTGTTTCGTCTCAGGGTCTCGCTCTATCATCCAGGCTGGACTCAGACCCACAGCAGTCCTTCTGCCTAAGCCTCCCGAGGGCTGAGATCACAGCTGTGAGCTACATTGCTGGCCTATGCGATCAATTCTTTACACCTCTGTGTTGAGCCCGGGAAAAATCACAGCATGCCACGGCCATAATTCGTAAGCACTATCTCAAGAGGAGAGCTGAGGGAAGCTGAGATGGAGTGCCAGACACTGCACCCGGGTTCTCACTGTCTGCTCCTCTCAAAACCCAAACAAGCAGATAGCTCTGTTTCAGAGATAAACCCAAGGGCTAGAGAGCTGAAGCTAAATGAGCAGTCGGCAAAAAGAGAAGCAAAGATGAGACAGACTCTGTCCTCAGACTCCAGCTCCTCCTACGGGAGTGCTCCTTCAAGAGAAAGTCTACAGACTCCAGCTCCTCCTACGGGAGTGCTCCTTGAGGCACTGTCTACAGGCTGCAATTCCTCCTTGAAGCATACATTCCCCTCCTTCTAGAAAGCAAGTGGAGAGACAGGATCACATCTTCCCCATAGTCCCCTGAGTAATCCACAAGGCATTCTGCTTTCCTGTCATAAGCTTTAACTGTGGATGTTTATGCCAGGATGTCCCAGTCCGCTGGCAGGTGGACCTCCAGCCTCTTTGAGCATTTCAGAGGCTAGAAGCCCCCCAACCTGCACAGAGGCCTCTTCTTCACTCCACCACTGAGCGGTGTGAGACTCTGGACTCTGACGCTCTGAAATCTTTGTCCTGTGCTTGTTCACGCTTACCCAATGCTGTCTGCGGCTGCAAGGAATAGGCATTGTACTTTGATGGACACAAATCCCTAAAGATAATTCCCATGTCCTAAGTCTCCTCTCAGCCAGGACACGTCCCCAGTGCCTTGGCTCTCACAGGCGCCTACTATAATAAAAGGGAAGGAGCACTCACCACACTTGACCATCCCAACTTCATAACACTTGCGAAGTCGGCAGGCCTGGCAGCTCTTACGCCGGTTCTTGTCTATGGTACACTGATTCGTGGCTGGACAGATATAATCATTATGTCCTACAGCAAGAAAAGGGGTGATTAATGCGACATTTTGGTTGAAGACACTGATAACACCATGCAGCAGTGCCAAAAGCAGCCACAGTGAAGAAGATATTTAGGTTCCCTTCAGTACTGGGGATTAAACCCAAGCTCTCATGCATGCCAGACAAGGACTCTACCACTGCATTATATGCCCAGTGTGGTGTGTTATTCTTTAAATGTTTATTTAACTTTTTGAGGGGAGGGGGGTTTTCAAGACAAGGTCTCTGTGTAGCCCTGACTGTCCTAGAACTAGCTCTGTAGACCAGACTGGCCTTGAACTCATAGAGATGCATCTGCTTCTACCTCCCAAGTGGTAGGATTAAAGGCATGCTCCACCACCATGCAATGCTATTTTTATTTAATTTAATCTGATTTATTTAATTTTATATGTTTATTTATTTCAAGAGAGAGGAGATGTAGGTCTTACAAGAATCAGTTCTCCTTCCACTATGTGGATCCTGGGCATTTAACTCAGGTCTTCAGACTTGGCAGCAGGTGTTCTTATGGACTAAGCCACAAAGGTTTACTTTTATTGTTTTGTATTTGTACATGTGCATGCTTACATGCATGTGTACATGCGTGTGCATGTGCACATGTATGTTATGTGCAAGGGTCCATGGAGGCCAGAGAGAGCACTGGATTTCTTGGGACTAGTTACAGGTGGTTGTGAGCTGCCTGGCATGGGTACACATTTGGGTCCGCTGGAAAATTCGCTTGCACTCTTAACAGAGCCATTGCATTATATTAATAAACAAAATAACCTGCACTTCTCATGTGATGTCTGTGATAACCAGACTTCCAGTATCAGAGTGAAACATGTGAGCAAATCATAAAAAAAATTAAAGTTGCCAAAGAACGCATGGGAGAAGAGGCCATTTATAGAAAAATGGAATTCTAACCCTGATGATGTAATTCAGCTGAAAGAGTGCCTGCCTGTCACACATGAAGCCTTGGGTCAGCCCCTAGCCTTACATAAAGCTGGGCATGGCAGCGTATGCCTTTACTAGCAATTCAGAGATAGAGACAGGAAAATCAAGTTTAAGGTCATCCTCGGCTACATACCAAGTTAGTGGCCAGTCTGGGCAAAGCAAGACTGTCTCAGAAAGGAGAGAGAGAAAGAAATGAAATCCCATTAATGGAAAAAGCGCAATGACAGGGTGGAGGGATACATGCATCTGTGGTCAAACCACAGCAAGGAAAGTAAAAGCTAGGAGCATCTGGGCTCTGGAGAGGGTCAAGGAGTTGTGGCTGCAGAGCCCATTCAGAGGGGAGGAGGCTGATTCATCACTGCCTGAACTCTGGCTATTTCCTTTCCAATTCTTTATATCAGTCACAGAATTCTTTTTTCAACTTAAATTAGAAACAATCTTATTTTATATACCAATCCCAGTTCCCTCTCCCTCCCATTCTCCCGTGTCCCCCACCAACCCCCATCCCATTCCATCCCTCTTCTGCTCCAAAGAAAGGGTGAGGCCTTCTATGGGGGATCATCAAAGTCTGTAACATCATTTGGGGTAAGGCCTAGGCCCTCCCCCGTGTTATTCACAGAATTATACATATATGTTAACACATGGTAAAAGGATAATTTGAAAACTAACTCCCAATGTATAACGTAACATATAATTCAGCTTAAATAAATATGTAAAATACAATGCTTTTCAAGTTTTTCTTAGTCTATTTTTTTCTTGAAGTATACTCAAACTATGGTTAATTTTTTATTACAAAGATAACTTCTCTCAGCTGGAGAAATAGCTCAACAATTAAGAGTGCTGATTGCTCTTCCAGAGGACCCAGGTTCAATTCTTAGCATTTACATGAAGACCTACAACCTTCTGTAATTCTGGTTCCGGGGAATCCAATGCCCTCTTCTGGTCTCTGAGGGGATCAGGTATGACATACATGCAGGCAAAACACTCATGGACATACCAAAAAAATTAAGTCCTTTTTAAAAAGATAGTTTCTTGGGGACTGGGGGATGGCTTAGTGATGGCCTAAGATGTGATTCCCAAGTAAAAGGCAACTGTGGCAGCAGCATGTACCCATAACCCCCATGGTGGGGAGGCAGGCTGGGCGTGGTAGATACCTGAACAATGGCTGTCCAGTCTCACTAATTAGTGATGCCCAGGCTCACCAAAGAAACTGTCTCATAAATGAAGGTGAACAGTGGTAGAAGCCAACACCCAATGTTGACCTCTGGCTTCCACACATGTGCACATGCATCCCTCACAAACATACACATATATCAACAAGATAGCACCTCTAACATGGCCTCATATATATATACACACAGAGAGAAATGGGAACATAGATGAATGCATGTCTACGCATATGTATATATGGATGTATTCATAAATCTGTTCTCTAACTCCATCCCCTGAGAGGACCTGGTGCATGGATCTTCCAAGGGCAGTGAGAAAGGAGCACTCAGATCTTTTATTATTGTCATTTTCCAGTAGGGGAATCAGGGTTCCACGAAAAAACAGCTTATTTCAGAACTAGGGCAGGTGTCATGCACAACCAGCCTGAAACATTTTGTACTAGGAAGGAAAGCAATGCCCAAAGAATTACAGGAACATATTGAAAAGACAGGAGACAGCTTAAGAACTCCTGCTGGCCAGATCTGAGATAATGTGAGCCTCAAAAAACAATGCTAGCAACCCAATACAGAAAATAAGAACCTGTAAGTCATACTGATTGATTCATTGACTTAATGAAGAATATCATTATTTACTTAGGCTCAAAAGGTTTCCCAGCAAAAACATCTATTACAAACGGGGGAAAGGGAGTACTTTTACAGAATGGATGCCTGGCAGCCAGTACCTTAATCAAATCATCAAAATGAGGCCTCTAGCAACAGAGCAAATTGAAATCACGCACCACTTGAAAGGAGATAATGAACGCAGCAGCATCCCTGGGCTGTCCCTGCTAACAATGCAAACAGAGTCTGGGATGGAAGATCAGACAAAGCCAGAGAGAGAGGGATGTTATGCAAGATGGCAGCTCAGTCTTCCAAAGCTTCATAATCATGGAAATAACTCAAACTCTGAAGGACAGAGACTAGAGACATGACACCTAAACTCACAGTCGTTTCATGATCTCGAACCTTGTGCTGAGGAGGGCATTCAAAAACCTCCAAGTCTGAGCATTAGGTGATGGTAACATGTTCGAGCATGCATGTTGGTTTCCCACCTGACACGCATTTGACAGCAGTGTGGCATTGGCTGCATAGGAAACATGTGTTAAAGTATTGAGTGATGAAGTATGTTGACAGCATTTTCCCAAACAGTTCTGTGTGAAAAGTTTTTTATATCATACATACATATTTTTTAAAGATTTATTTATTTATTACATATACAGTGTTCTGCCTACATTCCAGAAGAGGACACCAGATTGAATTGTAGATGGTTGTGAGCCACCATGTGGTTGCTGGGAATTGAACTCAGGACCCCTGGAAGAGGAGTCAGTCAGTGCTCTTAACCTCTGAGCCATCTCTCCAGCCCCATACATACATATTTTAAGTATGACATTCATTAAACATAAATAGAGAGGGTAGAGCACATCTGTAATCACAGCGTTTGGGAGTGGAAAGACTTCAAGGCTAGCCTGGGCTACACAGCAGTAAGACTCCCTCTAAAATACAAATAATTAAATGTTTCCATTGGTTTTCTTTAAAAATGTAGGTTACTATTCACTCAACTACTATGACTCAAGGTCTTCCTCACCCATTTGAGTTGCTGGTAGAATCAGCACCTTGTTGTAGGACTCGGGTCCCTTTCTCGATATCTATTGGCTGCACACTGTCTTCAGCTTCTACAGGCAAGTGCAGTTCATTGTTTAGTACACAGAGTGGTGTCAGCTTGCTTCCAAGCCAGGAGGAATGCATCTGTGACTCCAAATTTCTCTCTAATCTATGTGATAGGGTCTTTTGAAAAATATTTATAAGCCAAGCATGGTGGTGCACACTTTGAATTCCAGCACTCCAGAGGAAGGTGGATCAGTGTGAGTTCAAAGCCACAAAGTCCAGCTTTGTGGTCTAAAGAGTAAATTCCAGGCCAACTAGGGCTACATAGTGAGATCTATATATTAAAAAAATACAGACAGATATAAGATTGTATGTGCTTGTATGAATACCTACATGTGTATATGTTCACTACATGTGTGCTAGTGCCCATAGAAGCCAGAAGAAGGTATCAGATATCCTGGGAACAGAGTTACAGACAATTGTGGGCTGCCATGTGGTTGCTGGGAATTGAACCCCTGTCCTCTGGAAGAGCAGCCAGTGTTCTTATATATGAATTTGAAGGAGAACAAGGAGGCATAAGAGAGGGATTGAAGGGAGAAAGGGGGAAAATATATTTATATGAAGACATTTTGCCTTAAAAAGGGATCAGAAGTTTTGATAATATGAACATGCTTAGTAAAAACAGCCTAGAAAATGTTATGTAAAACCCCAAAAGAACCCTCCTCAAATTGCACCAGCTATCAAGCCAGGGGTTGGTGGTACACGCCTTTAATCCCAGCACTCGGGAGACAGAGGCAGGCAGATCCCTGTGAGTTGGAGGCCAGCCGAGTCTACAGAGTGAGTTCCAGGACAGCCTCCAAAGCTACAGAGAAACCCTGTCTCGAAAAAAAAAAAGATATAAAACTTCATAGGAAAAAAGGGAGCTTTTATAGTATGAAATACAAAAGCATTATCTTATTCTTTGCAACATTATTGGGTTTATCTAAATAGCATGTCACCCGGCTTTGTGATTACAAGAGACAGCACAGACCAGTGAGATCTGAGTGTGATCACAGAGAAAGGAGAAAGAGAGAGGAGGAGGACAGGGGTGCACACTGTGAGCACATGTTCAGAAGCCGGAAACATTCGGGAAAGTGAATGAAACTTCCTAAGATATACAAATAAAACCAAGCCCTGAGGAGCATGGGTGACTCTGGTACTGGGAAGGCAAAAGCAGGAAGACTGTGAGCTAATT